ATTACAATTTCTGAATCTTTATTTATCCTTTCTTCTAAATAATATTTATAATCTATATGGTATTTAAACAACTCACTTCTTTAAGTGGGTCTATGTGTAACTCGAGAATCCAACACCTCATAATTTCTCTTGTAATTAATTTTGGAGTATGAAATGGAATTTTTGGTTTTAATCCATTGCACATTTTCATAGCTAAATCTTTATCATGTGGTATGTCAGGATATGGAGGAAAGCCCGTAACAATTCGTAAGCAATAATTCCATATGAATATACATCAGCAGCTTTTGTATATTCTTCATCACCACTTAATACCTCTGGAGCAATATATGGTAATACACCAAATATATTCTTGTCTTCTGGAATATTCTGATTTACCCCTATTAGCTTACTTAATCCAAAATCTGAAATCTGTATAGCATAATCTTTAAAATCGGTTGATAAAATATTTCCAGGATGGAAGTCTTGGTGAACTATATCTAATTTATGAATATCTACCAACCTAAAAGATAAATTCCATAGATTTTGTAATTTTTGATACCTATTAATATCATTAAAATTAATATTTAAATATTCTCGAAGATTTCCATCTTTGAATATTCTAAAACCATCATATATTTGTGTGTTTCTGGATCTTGTGTAATTCCATTCGTTTTTAAGTGAATTGTCATCTAATAATATAACCATTTTTAATTTACAGTCAAAACGTTATATAATAATTTGAAAATTAAATTAAATATTAATTAAAAATATTTACCTCATTTGAGGCATCATTTAAATTTACAAAATTATCAATCTTTTTTTAATGCCACTTCTACGTCTTCTTCATCTTCACGAAATCTTTTCCTTTGTTGATATTTAACATCCATCAATCCACCTGGCGTAATTAATTGTTCCAAATCCACCTCTACCTATTTGTTTAACATCTTTAAATCTATCATAAGGTATCCATTCTATAACTTCCATATGACTATTAACATTTAGTTGAGAATCTTGAATGAATTTATCTATTTTGTCATTTCCACTTGTCCAATTAGTAAAATCATTTTGGAAATGTTTCGAGCTACATGGTTTGCACCAGGAAGAAGTACATTCTTGAGTGCATTCTGGACATATTGTATCAAATGACATTTTTTTGTTTGCTTATGGTATGAAAAGTAGAAATTTATTTTATTTTTTGAAAGAATGTTTAAAATTGCAAATGTTTTTAGTATGTAAAAAAAATCGCATTTATTAATGATATTTTTATTATTTTATCTCATTGCAACCTTTCGAAAAACCAGAATAGTAAATTAAAATAAATTTCTTCGGATTTCGGTAAAAGTATTTGCGTATTTAATTGGCATATGAATTCAGTAAATTATTTAGCGATATGTATATCACTACTGCATTTTTTTTTCGAATAAAATAAACATTTATTTTTACTATTATTATTTAAATTATTAATTAAATGAATAAATTTTTTGTAATCTTTAAAAAAATGTATTGAAAATTGTTGGCGATCAAATTTATAATTCTCTTTAAATATAACAATTTATAATTTATTTTTAAAATCATTTAAAAAATTAACATTAAACCTTCAAGAATCGGAAGGTAATTCTTGATTAATTAGCCTTTAATAACTATTAATTATTTCACAATACTAAAGTAATAAATTTTTTACATTCAATGATTAGACAAGTAATCGATTATATTTGAATTATTTTCTATTTATTGTTTAATTTTATTTTACTATTAAATGTATATGGCTCGAATTTTTGTTTTGTCTTAATGAACTTATGACTAGTAATAAGAATTATGTTAGATGACTGCTGACTATCAATTTAGGAAATTATTGTGATGCTTCGCCACAAATATTACGCGCCACTAACAATAATGATCATTTTCTTTAAAAAAACTAATAAATAAATTTAAATAAAGATATAAAAGACAAAAAACTGAAGAAGGCTACCCACGTAATATAAACCTTTTCCTAAAAAAATCTTTAAACAAAAAAATAAATAAAATAATTCTACCGTTTTTCAAAAATGATGCATTTTTTTGATTTATCTTGATAAATAAACAACGAGAAACTCTGCACTTTGGAACTTTGGACACTTGAAAAATATATCTATGTATTAAATCTAACTATTAAATATATTATAGTATAGCAAACATTATATAATTTAATATCATTTGCTAAATATGTAATCTATTTATTCTGCAACATTAAATTGTTTTCTTTTGCACGATTCTATAAAATAATCATAATTAATGTTTATAATAATTGTGCATATATATATTTTAAACAAATAGTTGACAATAGAAGAATTAATTGATATTATAAGTTTTTCATTATATGAAACGTCTACATTATCAAATGTCATTAGAATCAATACTTTGCATACAAAATTCATATCCAAAATATGGATCATTTTTGCACATTCAATTTTAAGTATACCATTTTTAATGGAAAATGTTGCTTTTTATTTATTATCAATTTTACTGTCATCACATTTTAGAGGATTGTGATCAAATATTTCATAAATCGCTTTAATTTTCTCGACCAAAATTTTACCAGTGTGGCCATGACAAGTGATATTTGTCGTTGAATAAATTGTTGTTTCACGGTCAAGTTGAAATTTTGCAAATACTTCAGAAAGAATAGTTGAAAAAGTTTCCTTTGGTTCTTCTGCACGAAGAGGTAATTCTTCAATTAAAACGGATCTTGCTGGTAAAATAATTGATTTTACTGGTCGTTTAGAAGATAATAAATGCAGATCAATATCTTTCTAGAACTGTTTATCAGTCTTTTTGTAAGGCCTAATTGAATCTATGACATTATCAAATGAAAGTAACGAATATATGTTGCAATATAGTTTTAAAGTATGAAAATTTTTTCTTGGACCATTCACCTTGGATGTAGAAAGAGCAGGATTTTGAGAAATTCCCATTTGATGACATAATCCCAAATTTCAACTTCTTTCGTCTGGAATCATCTCGCTTGAGAAGACACACCAGTGAGGATTCGCGAAGAGAGTAAAGTCATCTGGATCAAAAATAAGATTCGGATACTTGGCAAAAAATATTCTAGTTTTCTAAATTTGTTTCTAAAAATAGTACGACAAACAAGAGAATAATGTGTTTAAACCAAGAAGCTTTAGTATTAATGAGATGAGTTTCTAATTCGTTAGTCGATTCCTCAAATTTGAATTCATTAGTAGCCAACATTAAATCAATATAAACCTTATTTCAACATTCTTCAGATTAATAATTCCACCATAAATATACATCTAAATTATAATATAAAAATAATAAAAAAATTTAAATATAAGTAATAATATTTTTATTATTAATAATAATTTACTTAAGAATAAATTAAAAATCCGAGCAGAAATGCTTGACTTGGTAATTGAACCATTATTTTTATTGGAAATTTTTTCTGGTTCTCTACGATCGATTCTTTAATATATTCGAATGTACTGTGGATAATTTTTATTTTATTTTTAACTTTGATGATGACATTGAAACCATCTTTATCATTAAGAAATTCAATAAAGTTTTGAGATAATTTTTCAAAATTACAATTCTATTTTTTATTTTCGCAAATTATTGAGTCGGAAAAAAAGACGATGTTAATAAATGACTAGTCATAAGAATAATTTGGGACGTGTTAAGTATTATAACTTTATATTTATGTGAACTTGTGATGCAAGAATAAGAATAATTATAAAATTGATGAGCTTTATAATAAATTACATTAATTATAAATTTTATTATTTTTTCTGTACGAAAGTTTTTATTTATAGACATTTTGCAGCATCTTGATCTTTACTAACCTAAATGACCCTAATAAAATAAATATAAATAAATAAAAATAAATAAACAAAGATATAATAATAAAATCAAAATAAATAAAAATAAAATAAATGAAAATAAAATAAATAAAGTACATATTAAAATAAATAAAAATAAGAAAATACTAAAAAAAAAATACAAAAAAAAAACTTACCAAGAAATTGAAGTCCATTCATTAAATTTCAATTTCAAAGGTAAAGTATAAAGTCATTAATAGGCTGTTAATTCCATGCGTTAGATTAACGACCTTGACACAGGGTTTTAATGCATTTTAAATTTGCATTATGACATGGAGTACTTTGATAAATTTCAATATATAATTGTAATGACGAAAAAGAGTATAATGAAGAAAAGAGCAATGACAGATCATTTCTGCAAAAAAAAATATTAATTTTATGAGATATTATTTTTTATTGAGAATATTTTTTTTAATTAAATATAATAATAAATGAATAAAGTAATAACTAAATTAAATAATAAATTTTAATGAATTAATGAATTACTATTACTTAATTGAAATCAAATCAAGTAATATTGAGAAAAATAGCTTAAAATTTAAATTAAGAAACAAATTCAATAACAACAAATCATGATATTTAAAAATCCTTATCGACATGTCACCGCTAACATTAAAACAGTCGGTGTGAAATTAGGAGGAAGTTGAACGAGTTAAAAGACTTTGTATTTTCCTCTAACAAACAATTCATCGATTATTCATGCGTTAATCAATTGATATTGCTATTCGATAATAATTATTAATTGGAATGGGTGTTATGTTATATTATCCCATGCCATGATGTTCATCTAAATATAAACAAATTAACTATTATGTTGAAGTAAATTGAATAAACCATTACAATATTTTCTAATTAACTATTTTTAATTATTAACTTTAACGTTAAATTAGTTTAATTAACAAATTTAAAATGTTGATTCAATATGTTATTTGAATAAAAATATAGTTATAAAATAATAAAACCATAAATCAAACAATTATTCAATAAATTCGTTTTTATTGATAAAATTATATCTAAAAATTACAAAAAATCCATACATCATTGATTTTTAGTGCATAATAATAATTATAATAATTTTTGATTATTTTCAATTTTCTTATATTCAATGTAACAAAACAATAATGATGAATAATCAATGAAATACATAACTCAACATGTAAATACTATATTTAAAATATTAGCTGAAATATTATTTGGAACATTATTCTTTTATATAAAATTGAACTCCATATTCTCAATAACTTTAAAATGTTCATCACTTAATTTAAATAGTTGTGCTAGTTGTGTACGTTTTACAATAATCTTTTTATTTCCTCATCTTTCTTCCTTTACAACATCACTCTTCAAAAAATTTCTTAAACTATCAGCACTAAATATTCCCATTCTAATTTCAATAATTTCAAGTGATTCTGGTACATTTTCAGCCATTTGGCATAATTATTCATCAGCATCAATTCCTTTTTCTCCACAATCAAATGGAAATCTTCTTTATTTAATTTAAGGTTAGCAATATTTAATAATGATTTTAATGAATTAAGTTAATTTGGTAACCTTTGTACAATGATAATTTATCAAAAGTAATTGTGTGGTTTAAGTCTAGATAAATATTTTTTGAATTTGTATTGGCCGTTTCGAGAATTTTTATAATAAATTCTTGTGGATACATATTAAATAGATTACTCTTATGAAAATAATGAAATCTACTTAATTGAAGTAAAGGATAAACTATCCAATTTATTCAATCCAGAAAAATTTTCTATATAAAGTCCTTGAAGTGAAATAAATAGTCCAATTGGTGATGATATCCTCACGAAATGTACTGTTTTGATTTTAAATGAAGACTCTTTAATGTTTCTTTTTGACTAATTGAAATCTATATGACATTTAGAAACAAATGATATATCTTTTAGCCGTTTTTGAACCTTTATAAGTTTCGCCGCTAAATATATTTGATAACTTGAACAAATTAATTTTAATGATTCATATAATTGAAAAATCAATCTATCATAATGAATTCCATTATAATAATCCATTGTAAAACTTTTTAAATTTTTAAATACTCTCGGGGCACCAGATAACTTGAAAATTGAACAAATTGATACACTATAATTAGCAAAATTTCCAGAAAATTTATTGGGACACTCGCCATTTTTAAATAATTCAGAAATGAGCAACGATTTATTATTAATTTGCATATCTCACAAAATAATATTCTTGATTTGATGATGTTCTCATTATTATTAATGTAATTATCTTGATCTAAACCAATAATTTGTTGCGAATATATGGAAATAAAATGAACTAAATTATCAATTCCAAATTTATGAGTGAAGGATGGATAATCAAAAGTAGCTTGAGGTGGTGATGAGATGATAAATCAAATCCATTTTGAGTAAGTAAAATTCTAGCTTGAGTATTCATACATGATATATAAGTTCGAATACATAATGTTTTCTTCCTCAACTTCTCATCATCTGTACGACATTCTTGACACAAAGGTAATTCCCAAAGTAACTTTACACCAGTTTCGATTAACTAATAATGATTTTAAAGAAGGTGGTTTTTGTCAAATTTTTAAAGCAACTTGGAAGATTAAATTAACGATTTATAAGTCACAAAGGTATTAAACGGGCAAAAAGAGAAATTGGTTTGTGAAAATTAATTTGTTTTCATATCGGCTAATTTTCGGAATGGCATTTTATCCGATCACGATTGAAGATCTATGTGTTGTGATTGGCTGGAGTAGAAATATATATTTCGAGAAAAGTATAGAAACTTAAATACCACGATACTTTATTATGTTAACTATCTTTAGTCTCTAAGTAAACGTGTTTAACTCAAAATTTTACATATACTTGTATCTTTATACAATGTTTCTTTGCGCAAACACCTCTTATCAAATAAGTGTTTTATCCGTCACCTGACCTCAAAACCACTGCGAGAGCTCATTTATTTCTTTCTTCTAATAACAAATATTGTTGTTTTATTTTTTTTATAGATTTATTTGATTATAATACTAGAAAGGAAGAACTTTATTTAATGGTTAAGAGTGTATTGTCTATATACCTTTTAAACTTAGAAACAAAGTCAATTCTTTAAATTGGCCGAAATGTTATTACTTATAATTCATTAATATTATATTATTAAATTTATTTTATTATATTTATAATTTTAATCGAATAAATAAAATGATTAGAATATTCAATCGATAATTCATCATGAAACCATTTTTTGGTTTGAAGATGTTTGTTATCGTCATTATTTATCTGTCATTTTCTTTTGTTATTTTATATTGGTCACTTAAATACATATACATTTGAAACAACAAAAAGTTTGAATGCACAAAGTAATTCTTCTAATTTTTAATTAATGTGTTATATTATATTTCTTTTTGTTTATTCAAAAAATTTATGTAGTATTAAATTTATTAAAGAACAAGATGATGATTCGAAAATTTTTAAAATTCTATACAGTAAGTATATATATATATATAATAGCTATCCCATTCCCCAAAATCCATTTAATTATATATATATTTTTATTATAAAAAGATTTCTTTTATTTGATACAAAATAAATTAGTTGGATTATAAAAATAGATAATTTTTTTAAGAATAAAATTAGTAATTTATTGTTTAAATTTTAACATAGGATTAAATTATTTGAAACATATATTTACAATATCAGCAACATGTGATGCCGTAGTTGAGAATTTCCGCTGCATGATCTTCAGAAATGTGATAAAATAACTGGTCGAGTATGTTTCTCGAGAACCTTTTATAAGGTTCAATTCTACCTCAACTGGAATATGAAAAAACGAATATATAGTGACTGTCGTTGTAATATAGTTTTTAATACAAGATAATTTATTCCTGGTCCAATCTTAAATTGTTAGTATGACAATCAATTTTTTTTATTCTGCAAATCATTAATTTTTAATAATTTATAAAATTTTTATTATTTCAATTTAGTTAAATATGATACATATTATATTTATTACATATTTATGCAAATTCTTTTACATTTACCCCTTTAGTTTGGTGCCATTTAATTTTGTTCCCCTTACATAAATTAATTATTGATGCTGTAAGGTTACTTCCTTCTTTGATTTTGATTATCTTTTCTGTTTCCAGAAATGATTCATCTGTCCATAAGAAGTTTTGAAATTGTTGCAATCTTATATTAGTTGTTATTCCTAATACATCTGTTCTGTTTAGGCGGTCATTGATGTTTTTACCATGCATTTGGATTTGTCTATCATTAATGTTAAATACTTTGTAACCTTCATTTAAGAAGAATAAACTATTTATAGCTGTTTTTGCAAAACTAGCTTTGTGTTTTATAACTTTTAGACACATTGAATTAAGTCTGTTGCAGATTGATAATTATTAATTATTATTATTATTAGTATTATTATAATTATTATAATAACTATTATTTTCATTAAAGCTTCAAAATCAGTTTCCGTTTCCTCCTCCCTAACCATATTTTATTTAAAGAACTCGAATCTGTATCTTCTTCACCCTCAAATTCATGAATATCCATATTTATAAACTTTTTCATAAGTAATTCAGTAGTATTTTCTTCATCTATTTCAACTTCTCCACTGTCAGAAAGAGTTTCTTCGATATCATCATCTTCAACAAAAGCATCATCACTATTAATTATTGCAGTAGTAATAACATGAATCATTGTTTCAAGCTCACTATCTCCCAAATAACAATCAGAAAATTTTAATTCGGAATTAATATTTATTATATATTATGAATGCATCTGAGTCATTGATTGAAGTCGCTCAATATCTAACCTAATAAAAAATTCTTAATTAATAAATTATTTAATGATTTCACTTATTTAATAATAAAATTAAGTACTTTGTTTTTCTTTTTCCTATCATCCAATTGAGTATTGAAAAAACCTTTCACAAATAGCTTGATGAGAAGTAATAGCAAACAATTTTAAAGAATATAATTATTACGTTGTCGGAAAGACATCCACCATATTTCAGGAGTATCATGATCTTTAATATGTTCCATATCGTAAGGAGCTTGAAAAAGTGAATATTTTCATAATTGTGTTAAAAGAATTTGGCAACCTTGTTTATCACCACCAAAATTTGTTCAAATTTTACTAGCAGTTAAGTATATTTCACGAAATGCACTGTCTTGTAACCCTTTTTCTTAAATAAAATTAATGTTATTATATTATTATATTACTGTAAATAATAATTATAAATAATGTTTAAATTTACTTTCGTATTTAGGATGAAGAAATTAAAAATCAAAATCTATTGAATTTGGAAATTTTTTAATAGTAATTGCCATTTTTATTAATTCTAAAAAAATGTCATATTGCTTGACTTGGTTTCAACAACTTCAACAGCTCGTTTTGTTGGCGCAAGGATGGTTCTAAGGTGTTCTATATCTTGACAAAATTGTCGATTTCAAAGATTTTTTTTTTGTAGTAATTACAGTGCAAAATATTTCAGGATTAGTCTCAAGAACCTTAAATAGTAAATTAAATATCAATTATGAATATTTATTATAAATTATAAATATTTTTATTTTTAACTATGTTCTAATCGAATAATTGAATCATAACAATCCCATGCTGTAGACTATCTTGTTTTAACTGAAATTTTTAACCTCCACCCTTTACAATTGCATTAATGATTTCTTCTTGAAAAACTGCTATGAAGTTTTAAAAAAATTAATCATAGTCTTCAGAATTTTTAATTTGAATTACAATTTCTGAATCTTTATTTTTCCTTTCTTCTAAATAATCTCTGTAACCATAAAAGTATTACTTCAACTCACTACATAATTCTTTAGAAGTGGGTTTATGTGTAATTCAAGCATCCCAACACCTCATAATTGTTCTTGTAATTAATTTTGGAGTATGAAATGGAATTTTTGGTTGTAATCCATTGCATATTTTCAAAACTAAATCTTTATTATGCGGTATAAACAGGATACTGTCACCACTGTGCCAAGTATTTCGAACAATTTCTCAAATCAGTCTCAAAGTTTGCATCACACAAACATAATAATATGCTCTATCTGCCAGTAGGTCACAG